TGGAAGATACTCCACAATGTTCAAGTAAGTTAAGCATAAAGAAGTATTTATCTGTCATATGGATGTAGTAACTTGCTTATGCTAGCAGGACTCCAGACCGCGTCCACTGTGACTTACGTTGTTCATTGTAAATGCAATTAAAAGTAAAAACAAAACAAAACAAACAAAAAACTAGATATAGTTCAGCAGCATTGTATTACATTATTAGTAAGGTCCGTTACAGCCTTATGCACTTTTTCTAGGGTAATTTGAGTCCTTCTGGTTATTTTGCACTGTGATCAAGCTTGCCGCCTTTTCGAAGCGAACCCGCACTCAGTTTAGACATGTGCTGACTTTACGTCAGTTTGTAATACATATTATTGTCTGTTTGCATGACTGTGATGTGCGACATTTTTTCTTTAATTTACTAATAGCACAACAGACTGTCCGATCCTGCTCTGCACCAGTCCTCAACACCTTCCTTGAATACAGAAAAAAAAAAAACAAGAGGAGCGACAAAAGTATTCTCTTGGAAGAAAGGGGTTAAAGCAACAGGAAAAAGTTAAAGTTCGGGTAGGTCGGTTATGGCTCAGTCCAAAAACAAGCAGCTTTTAACTAATAGACTTGCTTAAACAAAGTACTGTGTAGCAAAGCTTTCAATTAATAATCACCCAAAAAAATAATCATCTACTAATTAATAATTGAGTAATAATATTAATAATTATGGAAATAAAAATCATTGTTCTGTTTGTATTCAAATCTGCATTTCAAAAGAAAAATCTTGAAAATGACAGATATTAATAGTTAATTTATCTATTTGGATATTGTGACATAATACAGGAGTAATTAAAAACAATTGACTGCTCCTTAAAAAAAACATTGCTCAGTCTTACACATATATTTGTTGTTGTTTCAGATAAATATTGGCTTGATGGTAATTCAGAACAACCTTCTAAAGCCACAACGTGGAAGAACAATTTCACTGGCAACAAACCCAGATGTCTCTGCCACACCTCTGCTCAATCTTGCGGTTAAAAAAATGAAGGACTTCAACAGAGATCTAAAGGACGAACCTTTCCTCCTTCTGTACCCAGATGGGACAGAGGTGGCTAATATCCCTGGGACACAAACACCTTTTTCCCTTTCTGCTTATAAGGCTGAAGTGGGCAAGTCTTACCAAAGGATAACTCTTTTCCTCTGCTCGACAAGGGATTTTGAAGAAGGTAAGCTCAGATGTTTGTGTGTACTGTTTGGATCATTTAACTAACTTCAATAAATCAACATTTTAAACTACAATTAAGCATTAGTGGCATGAACCAATGAAGTAAAAAGTATACATAGATTGGCTCCTACGTATCAAGTTACTTCCCAGAAACTTGATAGGTACACACTCATTTATTAGTTTTTACCAGTGCTGTGTTTGTGCTTCCAGATACAATAGGATAGTGGAATGAATACGATACCATCACATAGTAGAAGTTAAGTTGGCTTTTATTTTCTCTTGTTTTGCAGCTGGAAAATTGTCAGACTTGTCTGATTCTGACCCAGAGATGATTATTAGACAATCCTCAGACTTTGATCTTGCTGATACACTGGTAAGTGCAACTAAAAACGTATTTGGTCTGTCATTTGTATTTGGTTGTGCATTTTACCTAAGCTTCGTAGGACTATGTCGGTGTTTGTATGTGAAATTGTGTTTTATTTTCTTCAGCCAATGGAACCCATTGATGAAAGTAGTCCTGTACAAAAGGTGGCAGAAACAGAGTAAGTTAAATTTTAGGGACATATCATGGCATGGTGTGGGTATGTGTATCAAAAGTATTATAGCCTTTGCAGAATTTTTGTACAGTATGTTCCTTTAACATGTTGAATGTGGCTATTTGTAAATTATGAGGTTATGGGAGCATGTCCTGTGAAGTATTTGTATTTTATTTTTTGTTCAAAATGCTTGTTTTTAAATGTTGAATATACTTGCATGGAAATAATCATTAGACCACCCTTGCTTTCTTCAATGTCTGATACATTTTACAAGTATACATTTGTTTAGGTAAATGAAACACAGAAAACTTCAAAAGAGTTTCAGTCAATAACTTGTGTCAAATTATTTTGCATGTTTTTTGCCATAATGAGTGAAATCACTTTGCTTCTGTAGCAATGGCATTGTACTTCCAAAAGCGCTTTTAGGCATTCCATGTTTTAATTTCTGTCTGTTTTAGTCAGATGATGCACAAAGGACAATAAAGCAATAAAATCACCAAGACATTGAAGAAAAATGGGTGATGACTGCATATGTTCAAAATACCCATTAATATGTTTTTCATTCTCCTCTAAGGAATGGTGTTGGGGATATTGTGCTTGCAGATGAAGTACAACAGGTACAAAGTTTTTATTAACTCACACCGCAATCCACAGATTTTTATTTTAAACCCTTAAGTAAAATATTTGAATATTAGAATCAGTCATTAAGTTTTACTCTTGTCTTTTCTCTGTTTTCAGGTTATGGATGTGGATAACCTGGTGTCTGGATTGCCTGGCAACAATCCAGGCACCAGTCAATGTCCCACTTTCCAGAGCTCCTGTTACAGGTGTGTAGGGGCTTATGAAACAAAGAAGGGTGTGTGTAGTTTCATCATGACAAAGTGATACTGATACATCTATTGTAAATGTATTAACTTTGGATGTTTTATATTTAACTTCTGACATAAATTGAATGTTTCATGAATGAAAGTTGGAAGTACTTCTTTGTACTTTTTTTCCTCATCTATATTGTGTGCATGTTTTTGATCAACAGAGACTACACCGATCTCTTCGAGCCGATTATTATTGAAGATGACGATGAGATCGAACACTTTACAGAAGACAAAAACCATGATCTGCCACCAGCAGAATATGTGTTAGTAATTTTAATATTTTGTCTTAAATTTACCACCATCCTGGTACTGCACCTAATTACATAATGCTAATTGTGATCAATCAACAGTTTTAAAATGAGTTTTTTTTTGTATAGGGAAAAAGATGTGCAGCCACATGACATTATTGCAGAACTGGCCATGGATATTGACCACAAGAAAGTCAGCCGGTTCAATATATGTCGGAGTGATGTGTGGGATGGAGCTGTTCGGGGCTTTCAGAGGAGCACATACTCTGACAACAATGATATGTTCATCAAATTTAATGATGATGCTGGCTTTTTGGAGGAAGGGTTGGACACAGGTGGCCCGAGGCGTGAGTTCCTCACGCTTCTTATGGCCGTTCTTAGAAATCGCCCTATCTTCGATGGACCTACCGAAAGCCGCTACATTGTGTGCAATTCCAGAGGTGAGTCATATTCGGGTTAGTGAAGAGGTAAGACTTCTAAAATCAAAATTTGCTAAACACCTGCTTATATTTCTGTCATAAGCAGATCAAAAATGTAATTACCTACAGTAATTATGTGCTCTGTACAACAGCTGCCAGGGAAGATGAGTATTTTTTAGCAGGAAAGATGATCGCTGTATCGATTGTACATGGGGGACCGGCACCACATTTTCTCTCAAAGAATCTGGTCAACTACTTGATAGGGAATCCGAGTTTCAGCGCCACTATTGAAGATGTTAAAGATGAGGAGATAGGGAAAGTTCTAAAAGAGGTAGGAAATGACCAAGGCTTAAGGAAAAGATTTATTGTATGCCAATTGGAGATTATTTTTACATTCAGATTTAGATTATGAAATTATTATAACAAAATAATAGTTTTGTCAAAGCTTGACAAATTGGTTTGTTTTTAAAGAGCCAATTACTGCCTATCTCAACAGATGTGAAATCACAAACACAAAAAATGTTTATGCTATTTTTATATTGATAACAAAGTAGTTGTCAAATTGATAGGTCTGTACTTCTTATAACAAACTGCTTGTTTTATAGGTCCTGGAAGCTGAATCAGATGAATCTCTGCTAAATGTAATTTTGCAAAACAGCGGGATGTTCCAAACTGCTGGCTGCTTCAGGGGTGTGAAGGCTTCTGAGAAGAAAGCTTTCATAGAGGAGTATCTCAGATGGTACATCCTTGACAGAAACCACAGTGCCATTCAACGGTAAACAGTGAGCTATTTATGGTTATAAATATTTTCAAACAATTGTAAAGCTTGATGCTCAAAATTCAATATTGATGACATACTTTAAGTTGTTCATACCTGCCACCGACTTTATGACACTGTAATTTACTATGAAAAAGTAATTTGGTTTAAAAAATTTTGATCAAATTAGATATATGAAATTACTTGATCAGATATCAAATTTAACCAGCTTCTTTCTTTGTTTTTCTGTTTTATCTTTAGTTGGTAATAGATCTTTGTGTGCCCTTCTGAAAAATTGAGTGAAATACTGGAATATATTGTGCAATAATTTTTAGAGATTTTTTGGTATTATCATTTTGTTATTACTTTAGTTCATATTCAGTCTAATGTTAATCAGTATTATTGTGATTTTCAGTTTAAAGTGTTCTCTTCCTTATGTGTGTATGAACTGACCTGGAGGTCAGGACTGTCTGTTTCCTCTTCATGTGAAACAGTTAACTCTCTGTTTCCCAGACCTTAAATTCTTATCAACCAGAAAAGCTTGGTCATAAAATTCATATACGTTGTCTGTGGTTCTTTTATGTAGGTTCGAGAAAAATACCCATCAATACTTGTTAAATTCTTAGTTTCACCACTTGTATCATCCATTCAGAATTTTAGGTACAATAGCCATTGTCTTCTTTGTACTCATAAATAAAACATTTTTTTCGAATCATTGTTTATCATTACACAAATTGATCATATACATGGCATATTAAGATTTTTTCAATGTGATTTATAAAAAATTAAATGTTGCATGATACAATATCAATTTGTTGCTGTGAAAACTTTTTTCTTGTTTAAATTTGATATTGTGTTACTTTTATTTTTGAATTTTGCAGCACTGTGAAAGATTCTTTACTTTGTATATGTAGTTTCTTTTTCCCCTGTACATATTGAACTAAAATCTTGTTCACGTTTACACAGGACTTCGAATAAATCATATCTATGCCACGAATAAAATACATTGCTTATGTTTCTGTCCTAACAGATTCAAAGATGGTCTGGGAAGTCTAGGGTTTTTTGCTGCACTGCAGAAGCATCCCAGTGTCCTTTCCCCAGTCCTGTGTTTCTCTGCCAAGGCCCTGACTGCTTCAGACTTGGAGACGATGTTTAAACCAGTTCTCAGCCCAGTAGGAAGCAATAGGCAGCAAAAGGAGGGCAAAACAATCGTTTTCTGGGCAGATTATTTGCTTGATTGCGAAGGTTAGTAAGGACGGATTGTGTTTTATTCTAAAATTGGGCTTTTTGTTTGTTTAATTGGGAGAACATCAGAAATAAAATCCATTGTGCAATGAATTATCTATTGACTACATTGTTTATCATCTTTCAGAGAAAACAACTGCTCTGTCTCTGGAGGAAGTCCTCATGTTCTCTACAGGTCTCGCAGCGATTCCACCAGCAGGCATGATGCCATCCCCACATCTAGAATTTCTGAGTGATTCACCTTTTCCTCTCGCTAACACCTGTGCAAACACACTCAAACTGCCGCTTTTGGATTCTTACACTGCTTTTAGGGCTAACATGGACTTTGGGATACAGAACGCTCCGGGATTTGGATGCTACTGAAACAAAGATTTCTTGCAGTCTTGTTGAATATGAAACATTAAAAATACATAATTTGATATGTTTTCACATAATTTAAAACATAGCAATGTTTTGCCACCTAGACATAGACATAAATGTTAAATGTGTTACAAAAACCTATTTTGTTTTGAAAAACCTTTTTCCTGTTCTTTTCTTTCTCGCAGCTGTAAAACCAATAGACTACTCAAAACTTTGTTAGAATTGTATTAAGAGTGTAATGTGCACATTTTATCTTCATAGTTCACACTGAATGCACAGTTTGGTGTATAAAAAAAGTTTAATGCACTTGTTGCTGTTCTGAGTAACAATGAAGTTTCATTTGAGCAAAATGAACAGGAGACAAAATATTAAACAATTTGATTCTCGTTGTTTGTGTCTACAGTCTCGCTATGTCCTTGAGCAGGAAATACAGTTCCATAGCTGACTCCCAGTCTTCTGACTGCTGTTGTCCATGTTGTTGCATGGCTTGCTGTAGGTATTCCTCAATGTCTTTATCACCACACAATTCTGTCACCTGACTTGCTTCTGGGAAAACATCCAGATCGCTGTCCTCAACAGGAAATCCACAATCTCTTGAAGCATATCTGCAAAGTCAGAATATAAGTCAAAGAATTGTGACAGATATGTTCTATATTTGAAGATGAAGTAGATGAAGATGTTAATTACCTGTGAGGCAAGAGATAGAGTTTGTTTGGAATCCCCCCAGGACAAGATGCAAGTCTGCTTGGCCGTATCCTGTGACTATTCCAGAGATCTTTGCATTCATCCAGGTCTTTCTGCAGAACTCTAGTGAAGCAGAATCTGACCAAGCACTGATGCTCATGGGTTCCGTTGAAGTGTCCGGAGTCTCTTAGATCTCCAAACAAGTCCATCCAAAACTGAGACCTGAGGATACATTGAATTAGAACAGGTTCTGGTATATTTCATATTAAAATGGTTAAAAGATTGTCTGTGTTTTTCCATGTCCATAACATTGAAAGTAAGCTTTAAATGTATGTCAAACTTAATATTGCGTACTACATTTCCACGTATAAACCAAAACTTTGTATAGCATCTATTACAAAAAAAATAAAAAATTCTACTTTGGGAATTTTAAATTTTTTTACTAAAGCCTTATAAAAATAAATGTTTAAAACAAATTCAATATGGCATGTAAACTGTCAAAACGACAGCGATGTGCCTCAACTCCTTAGGTACTTCCTCTGTAGTTGTCATGACAACAATAAACAAACCACAAGCTTAGCACTAGCTTTCACCTCATCGGTAATTTATTAGCAGTAAAAGTACGTTACATATTACACCATAACAAATTTTGAGTACACAGATATGTAATATAGAACTTACTCCCCAACTAGCAAAATTTGTTTAACATATAGCTTACGTGTATGTTACTTAAGTCAACAGAACCTTGTTTTACACACAAAGAGTTTGGACGTACTTTACAAATCCGTTTAAACTCAGACTGTATGCTTCCATGGATTTCAGGCAGTATCAGCTTTCGCTGTACTTCACATCTGAAAAACAGACATGTACCCACCTTCCTCTTCTGAAAAAAGACCACCATGACTCGATGCGTTGATTCCCTGTGGATGATCCGTAACTGTGGCTTGATGATCCAGCATAATAATCCGTATGCGCATGGCGGAGGGTACACTGTATTGCTGCCACAGTCCCGTTCTCTGTGCCGAGGTCTGTTCGTAGTCTCATTGGTATCACTCCAAGACTCTTGACACAGTTTATATAATGCTGGGCAATGACAGAAGGATTGTTGTTTGTTGACCCACAAACAAGCCACATCATTCTTCTCGAAAAACCATCAATGCATACTGAGATGGCCAAGCCGAATGGCTTCAGTTTGTCGTAGCCATCTACATGCCATATGTAATTGGGCCCCATAGAATGATACGTGCGTCTTGTAAATCTCCTGTGAGTCCTCAGAGCGATGCCTTGGGGATTCAGCTGCCTCAGCAGTCTCATTACAAGATCACGTTTAACTCGTAGGTTGTGTTTTTGTTTCAGAACTTGCCACATGGTCCGATAGCCAAATAATTGCCCTGGTCCTCTCAGCTCGGTCATAATGGCACGCCTCACTTCAGGAAGTGGAGAGTAGTTGCCTCTTCTATGCAA